TCCTCCTCCCCCTGCTCCTCCTCCTTCTCACGACGAAGCTGGCCAGGCTCTGTGGGTGGTGACGGGCGCGAAGTGGCCGAGAGTGGGGGCAATCCCCAGCGGGCATTGCTGAAAAGCAGTGGAGCGCGGGCGCTTCTCTGCTCGACGCCTTCGGCGCCCACGCTGCGGCGCTGCCGTCGTGGCCATCAGGGGGGCCCCCGGGGCGCCCGACACAGGTGCAGAAAAGGTGGGGGCAAGGCCAAGCAGCGAGCGCTGTGCAACACCGACAGCGGTCGCCGCTCGGGCAGGCGACGCGTGCCCCGCAGGGGACAACGCCCGCGGCGACACCGAGGGCGAGCCCCGATCAAGCGGGCAAGAACTGCTGCTGTGAGAGGCAACGATGGGGGGGGACTGGCAATGGGGGGGAACATCGAATTGGAATCGGCGACACATCGCCGATGGATCGGCAATAGGCCCCCGATCGTGAATCCGCAGTTTCCTGGGCAGGTTGGGGCTGCCGGGCCCCTATCGGCGATCAATGGGCGATTGGGGGTCGGTGCATCCCCCCTATGCCTATCCCCCTGTCGTTGCCCCTGGTGTTGGTCTAAAGGAACAATCGCATAAACATAGCTTTCGGGAAGACGTATGTATGACTCGGGTTCGGGGGACTCGGGTTGGCCCGACGGGGCCAGCATGATAACGACGTGACGCGATATGAAATTTGACGCGAGCTCCCGCTGCAAACATCCCACGAAGACTGGACCGTCAACATCCAGGACGCGCTCGTAAAAAAAACGAAGACCGGACCGTCAAAATCGAGGAGGGAGGGGAGGGGGAGGAGGAGGAGGAGGAGGAGGAGAGGAGGGAGGAGGAGGAGGAGGAGGAGGAGGAGGAGAGGAGGAGGAGGAGGAGGAGGAGGAGAGGAGGAGAGGAGGCGGAGGAGAGAGAGGGAGAGGAGGAGGAGGAGGAGAGGAGGAGGAGGAGGGAGGAGGAGGAGGAGAGGAGGAGGAGAGGAGGGAGGAGGGAGGAGGAGGAGAGGAGGGAGGATGGGAGGAGGAGAGGAGAGGGAGGGGAGGGAGGAGGTAGGAGGGGGAGAGGAGGGAGGAGGGAGAGGAGGAGAGAGGAGGGAGGAGGGAGGGAGGAGGGAGGAGGAGGAGGAGGGAGGAGGGATAGGGAGGAGGGAGGAGGGAGGAGGGAGGAGGGAGGAGGGAAGAGGGACGAGGGATGAGGGAGGTGGGAGGATGGAGGAGGGAGGAGGGAGGAGGGAACTCCGTAGCCATTTTGGCTCAATTTCCAACGTGGCTCCCGGCGTTGGAGCTTTTTCGCAGCCAAGGGGGCGGCTGAAGGCCCCCCTACTTTCAAGTCTCACATTTGTGCTCGTCCCCAGTTGCCTGCCAAGGCTGGGCGAGCCCGCTTCCTGGTGCCTCCAAGCGGCTCCCCGCGCTGTGCCTATGAGTTCTAAGGATGTGCTCTTGGGCCCGAAGAAGCCGCTCTGGGCATGCACCAAGTGCCATCGCTCAGGCAGCTGGGTGTCCCGCATCAAGTGCGCATGCGGCGCGGCCGCCCCGAGTGCTGTGCAGAAGAGTGCCAAGGCGGCTCATGAGAAGGCGGTCGCTGGTGGCGATAACGCAAGCAAGGCGCCGAAGGGCCAGTGGTCGGCT